TTTTCTCTTTTTTTTCTCGGGGGACTCTTTTCAGTTTGTCCCCTGCAGTACAGGTCGCTTTGGCTCTATCCTGAGGCGGACCCGAGCCTCCCTGGCCGGCTACCAAAGGTCACCCGACGGTTTCCGCCTCAAGGGGGGCCGCTCTTGCGCGGCCGGCCACGTCCCATGTTATTCCTTGAGGTTGGAGAATAACAGTTGCGGTTCTACCAAATATAAATTGGTTCTGCTGGTGTCATGGACAAGGAACCGTTGCTTTGAACCCCCTGCCGGTGATGGCCATGGCACAGTCTTGGCTTTTAGGTTCGCCACTTTGCGGCCAAGCACATTTTTAAAGGGATTTCCGTAGTTCGGGGGAAGCAGTTTGCTGGTTGGGGTAGCGCGAGACTTCCTGAGAAATCCAAAAGTTCACTGCAGCGGTCCCTCATCTAATGAGAGATCCAAAAGCGGCAAGTTCGATTGGACTCAATGGCGATCTTTTGATTTGAAAGATCCAGCCCCCCATTGTTGGGCTGCCGGCAGACAAAGGGGGGAGGTTTGCCGCCGCTATGAGCAAAGACATTGCAGGATTTGCTGGCTCGGGGCTTGCTGAAAAGCATTCTTGCCACCGTAGACAGCCTCCTCCTCACAATAGGGTGACTAGACACCAAACAACAAGTATTGCTCACAAGAATTCTCGGTGTGGGAATTGTGTTTGGGCATACTTGTTTATGGCTTTTTCGCGAGATTTCGCAGTGTTTTGTGCGGCTTGTTTACGCTTTGTGTACAGCCTGTGAATTTCAGACCCGTTGCTCGCTCCTGAGTTCCTGTTCTTTAAACTTTTCGGGAAGACCAGTTTAATGTCGAACAAAAATAAACAGACTTGCTTGGCCCATCCACTCAAGAGATGGTTTATTTGTTTAACAAAAAAAAGAAAAACACACTTATCTTTCGCTCTTGTTTCGCTGTACATGCTCACTGCAACACCGCTTTCAAGAAGCGCGTAGCCAAAGGTTGAGGGTTGAGCTCACCTAGAGGTACAAAAGCTCATGCACCCATGAGGAAGGTTCCTTTTGTAGGGGGGGTGCTTAAATTGCAATTGGGGATTTGGGATCATTGTAATTTGCCACGTTTCAACAAGGGGTATTCACCAGAATAAACCAGGTTTTGTCAAATTAATACACCCTACCAAAAGCATGGGCTGTTCAGAGGCAATCCTTTATCCTTACATTGGTTTTCGTCACGGGTGCCCTTTGTAAGCAATAGATGGGTCCCACTGCTTCTTGTTGGGTTTTATGCCCCAAGTACCAAGGCCCATCTCTTGTTTGGGGCTTTCCACGGGTGCAGCTCTTCGAGCGTCGGTCCATCCGCCCAACAAGCGCAGCGCGCCGCGCGCCGCTCGCTGGCGCCATGTCCCGGGACGTCACCGCCTGGGCGCCGAACGACGCGCGCATCGCGGTGCCGGTGACGCCGGCGCCGCTGTGGCTGGGCTGCGTGGGTACCGCGGGGCTGCTGTCGTTGATGCGGCCCCTGCGCCTGTGGCTGGGCCAAGAAACAAGCGGAAGGGGAGAGGAGGAGGGTGCAGCTGCGAGGTGGTATGTGTCAAGTTAGAGGTTCGGACGCCAACATGGTGACGTTCTTTTGGTTTACCCTCCAAACAGCTTCCTAAGTATTTTCGCTTAGAGGCTGGGCTTAAGCAGCACCCGTTGCGATTTAAAGTGAGTTTCCCTTGGGGCGAAGCCCAGTTGAGCGAAGGTTCGTAGGACAGTCCCAACCAACGGGTGCAGTTGCCCCCTGAATAATTTACATGGTGTTGGGTAGACCATTCTGATTCCAGTCTTTAAAAGGGCTGGCTCCCAAGAAAAAGGCCTCTTGAAGCTTTTTTTGGAATTATAACCTACTTACCCCCTAAGAGCCCTCCAAGGTTTGCTCATGTCTATATCAACCCACCAAGTAGCCCATCGCTCGTTCCAGAACTCCTGCTTTCCTTCTCCGCCCCTCTTCAAAGCTGCTTAGAGAGTCCTCAGCCGCAAAAAAGTGCTCCCATGGGAATGCATCCTGGGGACCTGCTTTTCAAGCCACCAAAACAATGAGGGTGAGTATGACCAGTTTTACAAGGATGGCTTGAAACCTGCTTTCAGTTCCATTAAATATAGCCTGTTTTCGATTCACCATGTATGTCGACCCCACATTAATCAACCCCAGTTTATTAATAGGGGGGGTGTTCCCCTCCAAAAGTGATGATTCCCCACCAAACCCAACATTATGCCGATCGGCTGCATCCCGTAGTTTTTTGATGGTTTCCTGACAAGAAGGATCCCTGGAACGAATGGGGAAGCTTCCCCTAGATTCTAGGATGAGAGGTTTGCATGTATCCTTTGAGGAACCTGGATTCCTGCCGGGGGGAACTCATTTTTCAATCCACCATGTGACCTTGAAGGCCGTTGCCAGCTTTCAGCTTCCAGGCTCCCCGCCTTGCCTGGCCCCATCTCCGCGCTTTGCCGCTTGAGCGGCGGCCTCGGCGCCGCCGCCGGGGTCTGGCGCCTTGTCGGCACAGGGTTCCGGTGCAAAATTCACGGACAAAACCAAGAAGGGGGGTCCCCAAAAGGCTGGTTCCATTTAAAAAAGGAAAACGGAAACTACTTGTTCAGTTTATGTTTGGTTGGCTGCTGGGTTGGTTGGTACCTAGATTGGGTGTGTTTGTTTGGCTGTTTTGTTTCCGTTTCTTGGGTTGGTTTGCGGTTTGGTTGTTTGGTTCGGTAGTTTGGTACTTGTATGCTTTGGTGGGTAGATGATTCATTTGTTTGGCGCTCTGTTTGCTTGGTTTGGTTTGGTTTGATTGGATTGGCTGGTTGTTGGCTGGTTGGTTGGTTGGTTGGTTGGTTGGTTGGTTGGTTGGTTGGTTGGTTGGTTGGTTGGTTGGTTGGTTAGTTGGTTGGTTGGGTGGGTGGGTGGGTGGGTGGGTGGGTGGGTGGGTGGGTTGGTTTGGGTTTGAGTTTGGTTTGGGTTTGGTTGGTTTGTTTGTTGGCTGTCTGGCTAATTGGTTTGGTTCGTTGACACTTATTCGGCTTGTTTGGATGTTTTGGTAGACTAGTTGTTTTTCCGGGCTCGTTGTTGGCTGGTTGGTAGGTTGGATTCATGCCTGCTGGCTTGGAAGTTGGAAGTTTGGTAGTTTGATCGTCAGCTTCATTGTTTCTTTGGCGGCCGCCTGGCCTATCCCATAAAGCGGAAAGCAGCTGGGACCCCACCTTATCGCCTGAACTATTGTGGCTGCCCTACTCCAAGGAACAAGACTCCCTCGAATTTACCCTGACATATGGCTGTGGCTCAAAAAGCGGTACCCAAAATGGAACCCTGGTAAGTGGAAACGTGGACCAAAACCTGCGTCCCCCCTGTTTTATTTAGAGCCACACCCATATCAGGTTGAAGTAGTTTGGTTGGCTTGTTCGGGGCACCCACGCCTTAGGAGTATCTTCGGGGGGGGTTCATGACTTTGGGGCGGACAGGACGCAAAAGGGCAGGTTAGTTCGTGTAGACGGTGGTTTTCTTTGCTTTTCAAGAAGGACAATCTATGTTGCTTTTGCACACCATTGTTTGCTGATTCATGACACGATCATTCCCTTATGGAAACCTGCCACATTTCGCCTGTCCCAAAAAGACCCTTCCCAGAATGCCCTTTGTAGAAAAACATCATGTTGGAGGGTCGCGAAATTTCCACCTTGCGAACATCTGCCAATGTCGATTTGCTAACTTAGATGCGCTTTTCAATGGCGCTCTTTTGGAGAGTTGTGTTCAAGGCCTCAGGAAACCAAAGCAAACCACCCAGTTTGGTCCCGGATCCTTTTTTCGGTGGCTGTGTGGCTCAGGTGGTTGCTTCTTTTTGGATTTGGACCCAACAAGTTGTGCTTGGGCTTTTGGTGTCGCTATGTTCCCTTTGTGCCACACATTAGATGCTGCCTGAGTTCCTGGACTGGATGCTTGTTGGGAAAGCAGTTTTGGTGGCAAACAAGTGTGGACCTGTTTGCGCAAATCCACTCAGGAAGTGAGACTAGGTATCCTGAAAAAGAAAAACAAACAGAAAAAAACCGGGGGGGGGGGGGGAAAAACAACCGCACGGCCAGGTATTCGTACAAAGCCATGAACCACATCCTCGATGAGCACTCTCCCGTGGCCCACGGCCACAAGGTGCAGAGCTTGCTGGTGGATGGCCCCTACGCGCAGTGCAGGCGTCGGGCGTCGGTGAAACAGTTCCGGTCTAGGATCCATTTGGGAGGAGCATCAGGAACTCCGCAAATTCCCGAAAAAAACAAGTAACTTTGAGAAGGGCTCAGGAAAAAAGCGGCTTTCAAGAGGGCAGATGCTATTGGACAAGCTGGAAGTTTGGGCAAATGGATTGTATGTCAAACTTGCCACTCAATAGCGGTGGCGGGAGAATGATATGGCACGTAGGATTATTAAACCCTGCCCTCTCCCCACCCAAACAAAAAGTTAGCCATCACATTGAATGAAGGTGGTCTGCTGGAGAAGGTAGTTGGTGGCTGCTCTGCGGGATTCACGCAATGAGAAGCTCACTCCCTGAGTGCATGGACTTTAAACTTTTGGGAAAGACCATGTTAGTGGTAAATAACAAGTTCAGACTTTTTTGGCCAGTCCACGCAGGAAGTGAGGAAGCTAGATAGTCATAGTTTGAATTGGGCTGGAATCGAACTCATTTTTTGTGTGCAGAAAAATACTTCTTACCAAAGCGCCGTACTAAATAGGGGTGGTCCCGGAGGCCGGTGTCAGAGTTTGGGATTGTTTTTGGATCTGCAGAACGCTCCTTCTTAATCAGTGGTATGAATCCAACGTCAATAAATCAGAAATAAGTGGAGATTGTTTAAGCCGCTGGGCATTTGCTGCGTCCATGGCGTTTGGCACCGCATTTTGCAGTAACTAACTCACTTTCTTGGGAGTTGGTTAAAGGGACATTAATCTAGAGAGATACCAACTCACAATCCCAAAACATTGGTTGCACTGAGTTGCCCAAACCAGAAGTTGGCAGTCCCTATGTTTTGGCCGTCATGCGGCAAGCTCTTGATTTAAGGAATTTCAGAACCTAGAAGAACTCAACAAGAGAATGCCAGATAGGCCATGAGCCCACATTGGCTTGAACCATGTCAGTTCAATGGGTGGAATGGTCCTCCCTAATGGACCCTGCTTGGTTCCGAAGCCCCGAAGAAAGTCAATGAAGCGGCAAGAAACGGCGACAAGCTTGGTCTCGGCGAGCTGCTGCTTATCGTCTATTTGCTTGAGTTGATGTTGTCTATGATTCCCCGTTGTTTCAAAGAAACTGGTCATGACTCACATTTATGGCACCTTGCGCAAAACATCATGTTCACGATTCCATACTCCACCAAAAAGTGGGTTGTTCTTCCTCCCCCCTTCATGCCCAGCAAAAAGGTTCCCTTTGCAAGTTTGAACTAAGGCCATTGCAAATACCGCTAGCGTTCCAGGTGCTGCCAGTGTATGGCACAACACCAGTAGGAGGAGCAACTATCTTTATCTTGCATTTGACTAGGAATATATTAATATATTTGTTTAATTTTCCCCTGTTGTTTCTAAAGGGAATCTGTCACTACTGGACATATCTTTTCCAGCGGACTTAAGCAAATGGAGGTTATACCCTATTGTCAAGCTCAGAAGCTCAATCATTGTGTCTTCGCGGTTAATCTGTTCATTTATTCACGCAACATTCGCACAACTTCCTGTAGCTCTCCGGCCGTGCCGTCCAGGCCAGTCAAGAGAGGGGATGGGCTTAGATCTGAATGTTCAGCGGGAGACTTGCGAACCCAAGGGCCTGGCTTTTCAATACCACCAATCACACTTCGATCCAACAAATTGCCACGGCAACTGACACCGGAAGTATTGCTAGGCAAACCTGGCGCCAGCTATTGATCTTGTTTTGTCATACCCTTTGACGGACAACAACTGGTCATGCATGCAATTTGCGTTTTGTTGGCAAGGCCTTCTCAAGAACAATACCATGTTGAACAAAAGTGACAGGCTTCATGCGCGGCAAGCAATGACCATACAGGAATTCTGTCCGGGGCTGTGCATTGTCATGATTCCCCTTGCTGCCGGCAATCGTGGCCGTTTCTTCAGTCCGCATGCCGAAGCTCCGATCCAGGCACCCGATGTATGTGGGCATGCTCGCCACCCTGTGGGGTTTGGGAATTCTGGAGCAGCTCGGCGGATTTTTTGTTCGAGCTCTGTGCCAAATTTGGGGGTTGATCAAGCTGGCGGATCCCGCATTGCTTGATATCAAAGGGACACCGCGCAAGGAAAGCAACCGTTTTTAATGAAACACCCCTATATTAAGAAACACCCTCATGGTGTTCCACACGTATGGGGGGGTTGGAGCTTAGTAGAAGTCAAACAGGGCCTGCACGAGCGAAGATCATGTGATGCCAGCGGTTTGAATTGCCAGCTACGCCACTTTCAACCAGAAGGAGCAATGCTAGTTGAATGATCTTGATGTTTGTTTGTGGGTCTCGTTCTGTTTTCGCATGCTATTCAAGGTGCCAGCATGAAGCTTAGGAACACGTGGTGGGCCAAGATCACGTCGATACCCTTCATAGCCTACGTGGGCGGCTTCTTGGTGCCCTTGGAAGAGGGGTACCTGGCCGCGCGCTTCCCCGAGGAGTGGCGGGAATATGCGGCGAAGACACCCCGCTGGGGGGTCTTTTGAAAAGGATCTCGTGAGGCTCAAGGAGCTGGCAAAGTGCCCAACAGGAAGCTGGTGCGATAGGGAATGAGAAACGGAATGAACCCCAAAAATCTGTATTTATATTTTTTCTCCAACTGGCTTCCTTGCAGTTCATTCCATTTATTTCCATTTATGAAAGATTTTCTGGGTTCATTCCATGTCTCATTCCCTGAGCAGCAAGTACTGGAAGCTCGCCAAAGAACTGCCAGTTGCGCCTTCCAATCTCGGGTGCATGGAGCTCTCTCGGCCGAATGGGCGACCAGATGGAGCGAGCCGCGGCTGGCCAGCGAGAAGGAGCGTTCGGACGCCATCTCCGTTCTCTCAGACTGCAGAGGGAAAGAAAAGTGGGCGCAAGCGAATAGGAGGGTTCGAACCTGACTTTTGGTTTTGTTGGAATCATTTACCAGTGCTGTGGGTTTCCGTGATACCACGACAAGGTGTTCGGTATGTGTATTTGTAGGGTTGCCTATTTTGCCCACAGCCACACCTACCGCAAGGTGCGACTCGCGAAGTCCAACCCACTGCAAATTGCATTCAACGCGGATCGAGGTTGGGCAGCAAAGCCGATGAGCCAGCGCTTGAGGCAGGGAGCGCCCGAAATCATTTCGTAGCTTTGCACAAACCATGGTTTGACCACCAGGGGTACCCAGACAGCATCCTTTGGTAGGTACAAGGGCCGAAATAGTTAGAATAGGGCTGTGGGGAACTTCAAAGCCAAGTATAGTCATGATCATCAGATGATTAATTGTATGTGATAAATCTAGCCCCACACAATTACAAAACCAACATGACAATGGCTGGTTGCCTACCATACTGGCAATTGGGATGTGGGGAACCTGCTTTGCCCTTGACCCCAAATATTGTGACGACACGATGTTCTGCTTAGTGTGTTGTAGAAACAAATGCACCAGTGGGCGGTTCAGCTGATACTTCTGGAATTACTTGGTTTCTTGCCTGAGCAGGAACCCCACCCGGAGCCCCCTTTACTATAGGGAGTGTCCTTGTTTCGGATATTGAAGGTGTACAGCGGCATTCCTGTGTCGAAACCTTTCCTGCGGGGTTTGCTTGGTTCACCCAACGAGGAAACTTCTTGACCGTCTTTTGAGTGGCTGGCAGAGCCACATCCAACCTCTCTAGGTGCCATGAGATGCCTTGAAAAGGTGTCCCCCCATCGGCCCATCTCCGACTACTCAGTTGCCCAAAGCGAATCCCGGGCCTGTCCTTTTGGTTCTCCCAAGTCGTTGTTCTTCAAAACGTCCTGTGAACAACCATGGAAAACCTTCAAACAACCTGGAAGAAGCTTGGTCAACCCAAAATCAAAGTCTGAAACGCCTCGTCCAACCCCCCACCCCGACCGATGCCAGGAAGTCGCGCATGTCCGTGTCCGTAGCTTCTTTCCGCTTGAGGCTCAGAGAAGGTAGTGGCCAGTGGAAATTTCAGGCGGAAAAGCGATATCAGCCCTCCAAATAGCCCGTATTTGTTTCGGGTGTATCTGTAAAAGCCTGGTTGTTCATGTTTTTGTTTCACAATATGTCTGAATCCCCTAGTTGAGTTTGTGGGGGGTCGAATTTTGAGAGAAGTTCAGCACACCCGGATAATCCGACAGGTTTGTTGCTTTGGGATCGACGGATTGCTCCGAGGACCCCTGGAGAAGGCCAAGAGCGAAGGCAGGAAGATGTTGGCTGACCTGCCCCGCGAGCCATAATATGTGCCCCGTAGCCACGGCCTGCAAAACGATACGGGGCGTCCTCTTCAAGCAAAACCTGTAAAACGATACCGGGGCGTCCTACCGAATGAATACACCACAGACAAGTAATTTTGACGCTGTCTCATATGCTGGAAAGGGTCAATGACTCTAACTCAAGTCCAATGCTCCTTGCGACGTCAACCCGGGAAATGAAGTGAGTAATATACTTCATGTGCACCATGTTGCTCAATACGTTTCTCATGCGCACGATGGCCTTAGGTTGGTTTGCTGGGACCCGTCAAAGGTACACTTAACATGTAGCCACAGTCGGACAAAGCCCCGGTTGGTTCGGCTCTATCCTTCCCTGACTCGGACTTGTTTGGCGTCTTGTCTTTTTGGGCGTGCCTGATTCGTTGGATGGCATCCGGTTCCTTAGGCTTGCTTTCAGCTGTTTTTGGTTGGCCTTGAAGTTGCTTTTTAGTTGGTTTCAGGTGTTGTCAGCTGTTTTTTCAGTGGTTTTCAGTTGGTTTTAGTTAGTTTTAGTTGTGTTCAGTGGCTTTTTGTTGGTTTTATTGGGTTTCAGTTGTGTTTCGTGGTGTTTAGTTGGTTTCTCGTTCGTTTAGTGCTAGTTTCCACGGCAAACGCCAAGCTCGGGGATCAGGGATCGAAGGGGAACAGCTCGCCTGGACTTCGCCAGGCAGCGATCGAAGCGATGCGGCCACCAGGCCTTGGACTCCGTGATGTCCGAAGTCTGGAGATTTTCCCAGCAGCTAACATGGGCTTGGTGCACAGAATTTGGGGTTTCTCCCACCCTTTTTGGGTTGCATGTGAATGTGTCGCGGGGTAGAATGGGGTGGGGTAGCTGAAAACCAAATTAAGTACCCTCCCAGCAGCTAACATGGGTTTCTCAGTTTTTTGAAAGCAACTCGACCTGATCTGACCTTTTGGTTTTCCCATTTTGGTCCATCTTTATTCATGGCCCCAAAAGGTTTTTCCCTTCATGGGTTTGGTGCACAGAATTTTGCAGAAGACGACTTTCCTCTTGGAAAGTGCTTTTTTTTGCACTGTCCAAAGCCGACCTGATCTGACCTTTTGGTTTTCCCATTTTGGGTCCATAGTCATGGCCCCAAAAGGTTTTTCCCTTTTACTCAGTTTGTGCACAGAGTTCTGTAGAAGCCTTGCTGGTTTTTAATCTGTGCCTGACAGCTCACGCTGAAGCTGAATATTCATCCCGAGCTCCACACGCAACATCCCCCACCGTGTTTAGTTTAACATCTTACATGATAGTTGTGTTTATGGGTCCCAGCAAACCAGCCAGTGTCCAACGCTGCACTTCGCTTTCCCTTCTCTACGTTTCGCGTTGGTTGCAAATCCTTTTCCCGAAGGCGACCAGAACTAGGTCCCTCAGTAGTACCCTTCTTTACCCTTTTTTGGGGGAGGGTTCCCCTATGTTCCCCTACTAAAATAGACAAAAATGAACAAAGTTCCCACCCTGTTTCTAACCTTTTTTATTGGAGGGCCTACCGAAAGTTGGAACCCACATCCCAGCGCCCACGCCTGGAGCTGACGTCGAAGTGTTCGGGGCGAAGCTCAGGCGCCTGCGCTCCTCCGTGGCCAACTTCCGGCCCCTGCGGGCGCGGGCGCTCGGGTTTTGACGCTCACGCGGCTCACGCGATCGGGTCCGACGGAGTCCGATCGGATCGGGTCGGGGGGGAAATATATAAAACAGGGGGGTTACGCAGGTTTTGGTCCACATGTCCACTTACCAGGGTTCCATTTGGGGTACCGGCTTTTTGAGCCACGGCCATATAGGCACGCAGGAATGCTGGAGTCCCATTCCCACACAATCTCATGTGGGTAATACTGTGGATGGTTGCGAAATCCATTCGCACCACTTGGAAAAAATGGTTGAAACCATGGTTTATTGGTATTTAGGGGGGATTCATCATTCCAGGGTTTCTTAGGTGGTGCAGGATTTCGTCCATCCACAGTACCAACATGTTTGCCAGCATTTGGAGGGCGTCCTTGTGGGTAAATATCTTGCATAATTACATGGATTGGTGGGCATTTGACAGGGGATCCGGATCAGTTCGGGCAAACACCACCCCAATAATCCACCACTTGGCCACCCAGTAATCCACCAGGTGCAGGATCTACTTTACTTGGCATCCCTTGAAACTCTCCCCGAAGCCGGTTGGGACGGGACTTGGACGTTTTTGGAATCCTTAGTGGATTCCAGCTACCACTTAGGTAACCATCCTTTTTCCTTTTGGTTGTACAAGGCGACTTCCTTTGCTTACCCACTATAGACTGTAGGGCCTTGGAATTTCTGGGCGAGGCATAGGCATTTCTTCGTTGTTTTCCCCGTTGGCGAGTTGTGCCTTTTTTCCTGGAGATGATCCTGGGACGCACCTTAAGGAAGCTAGGTCCAGCACAAAGAAATTTTGTTCTCAGAAGGAAGTTGTCTTGGCTTGGCTGTTGTGTTGCTATCACCATCACCATCGTCATGGTCGTTGCGACAGTGGTGGTGCAGGCAGGAACACCGCCAGCGTCAGTCGCATATCCTCACGTACAAAGAGAAAAACACATCATATTTGGCTTGCGAAGTTAAGTATAGTAATTTGTGCGTAAAGGGTTCCAACAATATGTTGCCGTTTGCAGGTTTTGCACATCACCTTTGGAAAGGGCCACACAAGCCAAAAGTGGACCCTTGCAAGGAATGGTTGGTGGGTTGTTTTTCAAATTCCCAAGACACATGGACACAAACTGGCAACTTCACCCTCAAAGAAGTCCTTCATGGCAGGGCATACTCGAAGGTAATCAAGATACACTTTATTCCAGAATGGTGGAAAGGGCACAGGCCAGCCTGACAGTCCTTGGTAACACCTTGGAATGCTTGTTTGCTTGAGGCAAGCCGCACGTGCGTACATCTACGTATGATTATATATATATATATACATATTATACTGGCACATGAGTTGCAAGTCCAAGGTTCACAAGTCATTGCCACGTTGACATGTTATTTCCACTGGGATCAACAGCTTACCCGCCCAACTCTTTTGCCTGTTTGTGTTTCCTTCAAGATCCCTTTCAACCAGCAAACCATTCACTTTAGGTCCAAGTTTGGCGGTGCCTCGTCTCGTCAGGCTGACCCAACATCAGGCGCGCAGCGGCGCGCAGCGGCGCCATTTCGTGGGTTTCTACGTTTCGCTGGGCTCACATGCTCCATGATCAAAGTACTTCTTTGCTTGTGCTGAGAAGGGCTGGTGATCAACCTCTATGGAAATTACCGAACACATGCAGAGGTTCCCATGCAACTTGTTGTGCTGACCATAGCACGCATCTCTTTAACTTCTCCGCAGCAGTTGTGATCAGCCGGTCGGTTATCAGCAGCTGGTTGTGCAGAATGACGTCTCCTGGCACGTTGTTGCGAAAGTGTCTATTTGAATGGCCGCACTTCGGGCCCTGCCTTTTTGCACCTTTGAATGATCTGGGCAAAGTATGAAGAGCCCACCCTGGGGTAAGACGAGCTCACCCATAATGAAGGCCTCATACTTGAGGATGCAATATTTCTTGACTGCTATTAGGTTGGATTGTTTAGACTTCCATTGTTTTTGGAAATCAAGGGGTTTCCACCAAACCAAAAAGTGAAACTGTTTGCAGGGGGGTCAACAACAACCAAGATTTCCAATTTGCGAATGATCATAGTTTGCCCATGCCCAGCTTGTACAAGCGCGCGCTGCTTTGCAAGGCTTGCGGCTCAGCGTCATCGGCGAGGAGGCAACAGAGGCAGGAAAGCGCGAACAGGAATGCGTGGCACTGCTTCTGGGATTCTTCCTTATAAGGTGTTTACAGATTGAGGTTCACTCAATATCGACCAGAATCAAAGATCTTACGTTTGGTTGGTGACAGAAGCCGAGGTACTCCGGATTGTCCTGCAACAGAAAGCTGCAACAAGATTTGTGGGGACTGTTCAAGCTTGTGAGTATAGTCTTGTTTTGAGTGGCACCAGCATAGTCAATTCTCAGCTGCGGTTTCCTCGTTCCCCAGTTTGCGGTCTAGCCCCGCATTCAGTATGAAATAGCGAATGCAACATTGAAATTCCAACGGATGTTAAACAGCAAGAATTTGCTCGCAAGTTGTTTTTTGGGGCTTGCGAATTTGCTCATGCCGGTCCTGCAGCCTTCCGGGGAGTTTCCAGTGCAGCATGGCTGGTCCTTAGACCTTTGCATGGCTTTGAACCCTTTCCCGCAAGGTATTTGGATGAGGCGCCACGATTCAACCGGGCTGCAGACAGGCTACAAGCAGCAAGAACCCCAGCCAACCTTTCAGCAAACTTGCCAAGCTCAGCCCAGGGAAGCGGGACATGGTCCGATCTGTGCCTTTTCAGTTGTGCCAATCGGTCCGATCCAGATCGCCAGGTCGTGACGTGCGGGAGCCAATGGAGGGCACAAAAGGAGTGTTCAACCAATCGGGCTGGATTCCCGTGAGAAGCCTACTGGTGGCGAAAAATTTCTGGCACCGCCAGAGAGAAGCCCTGGTGTTTGATGAGTCGGTAAACAAAGCAACAAGATATCTGAGGATCCCTCGGGAGAAAGTCAGCATTAGCTTTGGGCGTTGGGTTGGGTTCCATGCCGAGTTGCTAAATGCTTCGGGGGCTGTTTCATTGACGGTGCTTTGTTCAGTATGTGGCAGCTTGCGTTCGAACGTCGGTTCACACGTTTGCCAGTCATGCAGCGGACGGCCCAAGCCTCGTTGGGTATCCGTGTGCCTCGTGCCTGCTTTGAGGGGAAACAACAACCGGCCCCCCAAACACTATGCGTTTGACGCTATGTGCGTGTGTTTTTTAGGGGACCCCGCAAAATGGCGGGGCGGTATTCCTGTTGGTGTGCCTTGAAAACCATCCAAACAACGGGTACCCGGAAAAATAAAATAAAAAAAACGTGTCCCTTTAATCCGGGAGTGCCAACCTGTCCGGGAACCTCATGTCAGGCGTGGTCAACCTATGCCCGGGTTGTCCCGGGTTGCACACAAGCCACCGGATATTCTTTCGAAACTGCCTAGATTTCTTGATCAAGCCTACGGAAAGTTATCGTTGGAGCCCTTCACAAAGCGGGACTGCTGGCCAACCACGGGGAACATTATTTGCTTGGTGGTGCGATAGGCAGGGAATGAGAATTGGAATGACCCCCCATAAACCATCCCCTGTGGTTCCGTTAGTGGAATCCCCAGGTTCATTCCCTCATTCCCTACTGAGCACCAGCAAGAGAGCTGTGTTGTGTTCAGTCAATTCCATCTGTTCATGCAACAGTTTGGTTCCAGTTTTTCTGCCGGTACCAATTCTCACTTGTTCAGTGGCCCCCCTTTTTCCCTTTTCTTTTGGTGGCTTGCCCCACTAAAATGGTCCAAACCCCAAAAAAGGGTTCCCTTTTTTTCCCAGGGTCACTGAACTGCGAATTGTCCACCCGGGCGTAGGAATCAAGCCGGCCTTGAGGTCGTTAGGCTTGTCCCCGGCCAAGCCTTTGGCATCCCTGGGCGAGGCGCGCTAAGGGAGGGATGGGCGAGTCATATTTTTTTTGGGCGGACCCTCCGAACTGGTGGTCTTCCTTTTGGTGTTTTTTTTTTTTTCAAACCATCCAACAAACGGGTACCCTCAAAAAGACAAGCGCGAATGGGGAACTGGAAAGAGGTTGGGGGCATAAATCCTCAGATACAATTAAGTCCACTGGATTCATACCCAACTGGTTGGTTCCCACGACAGCCCGGATAGATCCCTCATTGTTTGGAGCCACGTGCCATGGTCAAATCCATGCTTTGTAAGGTTCCCTCTTTGGCCCACTGAAGGAGTCTTGACCATGGCACACCTGGGTGTGTCTCAACTCAAAAAGGCGGGGGAACGCGCACAATGGGCGGTTTCCCTTTGATTTCCTCAAATACCCAGTTGCCATCGACTCGACTCCTTTCAGGGAAATTTGAGGGAGAAAAGCATTCAAAGGGGAAGCTAAGGGCTGCTTCCGAGTTTAACGAGACAAAGTCTTCCGCAAGACACCAGAAGAAAGCACCAACAAGGCCCATCCTTTACAGAGGATGTTCTTGAGCGTATCCGACAAAGGGTACTGAACACATGCAAGCATTGTAACCCAGTCATTGGCCAGTATAAGTCCTACAGCATTTGTTCATTCCCCCTGCCTCCTTCGCTGTCCAGAGTGCTTCCAGCCAGGCACTGAGGAAGGACTTGCCAGACACCAGCTCCAGCGAGGATGGCCTGGCACCCTGGACTGGAGCGATTTTGGGGGCGAGCCGACAGCACGGAAGTGTTTGTTCTTGTTTGCTTGTCGGTTGTTTGGTTGTTTGTTTGGTTGTTTGTTTGTTTGGTTGTTTGTTTGGTTTTTTGCTTATTTGGTTGCTTATTTGGTTGCTTATTTGGTTGGTTGGTTGGTTGGTTGGTTGGTTGGTTGGTTGGTTGGTTGGTTGGTTGGTTGGTTGGTTGGTTGGTTGGTTGTTGGGTTGATTGGCTGGCTGGCTGGCTGGCTGGCTGGCTGGCTGGCTGGTTGGTTGGTTGGTTGGTTGGTTGGTTGGTTGGTTGGTTGGTTGGTTCATTGGTTGGTTGGTTGGTTGTTTGATTGGTTTGCTGCTTGCCTACGCGCATGGTTGGTTGGTCGGTCGGTCGGTCGGTCGGTCGGTCGGTCGGTTGGTTGGTTGGTTGGTTGCGTTGGTTGTTTTTTTTGTTATGTGGTTGGTTGGGTGGTCGGTTGGTTTTGCGCGTGGTTGTTTGTTTGGTTCTTTTTGTTGGTTGGTTGGTTGGTTGGTTGGTTGGTTGGTTGGTTGGTTGGTTGGGTGGGTGGGTGGGTGGGTGGGTGGGTGGGTGGGTGGGTGGGTGGGTGGGTGGTTGGGTGGTTGCGTGGTTGGTTGGTTTGTTGGTTGGTTTTTGGTTAGGTGGTTGGTTGGGTGGTCGGTTGGTTTTGCGCGTGGTTGTTTGTTTGGTTATTTTTGTTGGTTGGTTGGTTGGTTGGTTGGTTGGTTGGCTGGTTGGTTGGTTGGTTGGTTGGTTGGTTGGTTCTTTTTGTTGGTTGGTTGGTTTGTTGGTTGGTTGGTTGGTTGGTTCGTTGGTTCGTTGGTTCGTTGGTTCGTTGGTTCGTTGGTTCGTTGGTTCGTTGGTTCGTTGGTTCGTTGATTCGTTGGTTGGTTGGTTGGTTGGTTGGTTGGTTGGTTGGGTGGGTGGGTGGTTGGTTGGTTGGTTGGTTGGTTTGGTGCTTTGTTTGCTTGCTTGAGGCTCAGAGGCAGCCGATCGGAGGCGCGCCGGCGAATTGGAGTTCTTGAACAGGTCGCATCACAAATCGTTTCTACCTGGCGTTTTGTAGAGAGCTGCGTCACCATACAAGGCAGCCATAGCAATCCTATGCAATCCTGCAGCCTTCATACAAACCCGGGATTTGTGACCTCACCTTTGATTAAGGCTCCTTAGGATTTTAGCCGTCTTGGGAAGCAATTCCATTTCACCCAGACACATCTTTCAAGAATCAAGCATGAGTCTATATATATATATATATATGTATACGTCTCTTCGGAGATTCACGTTTGGCCATTTCAAGATTCGCCTCCTTTCGGGCGTGATGTTTAAAGGGACGTAAACCCCAACAAACCATGCAGGTAATATACCAACATTTGACCCATTTGGAGCGTAAGTGTGCGTACCCTCCCACCAATTAACATGGAATCTGACAGGGGTCCTGGAAGACCATGTTTCTTTTAAAGGAACCCCCTGTCAAGTTCCATGTTACTTGGTGGGAGGGTAAATATTGCATACCCGGAGTGGTTGGTTCAGGGCTGTCAACGTCAACATCTGCCAGGGAGCTCTTCGACCGCTGCCGGGGGGTGCTGGAATGGACGCTGAGATTGGGCGCCCGGTCGAAGCCCGGACAATGCCAAGCGCTGGTATGCCGGTTGCCTGAAGGAGAACCAAAGGGACGGGTTATTCAATCTAGCTGGCGGTTGCAGGAGAGCTAAAGAGCAGGGGGTATCCAAATTTGCTTTTGAGCAGGGAGTTGCGGAGCTGCCGGTGGTCCTTAGATGTTCAAACCCTGCTTGTCGATACGTGCTGTGGCAAAAGTACGGTGGAGTTGTCCCGCATGGTTTCGTGCAGGTTTATGGTGGGAAGCTTCGCAGAGAGGCCGAATTCGTCTTGAGACACAACTTGGCGTTGTTGTGAAATTCTGGAATCGGCACCTTGAATGCTGTGTGTGGGACAGGTTTAGATGCTGCGGGGTCGGAGGGTTTTGTGAGATATCCCACTAAAGGTTGAGCTATTAACAAGGATGCATAAAGACGAGCCACTAAAACAAGATTGGTGTCCTTTCAAAATGGACAGCCAACCCATGTCTGAGGCAGTGCTCAAGCCTCAGCTGTGTGACGCATAGTCGGCACCTTTCTGGGCAGGCGTTCAAGCGGACCACGCGCAAAACCGAACCGATCATTCTAGCTGATTCCGACTGTGGAGCAACTCATTAAATGTGTGCGCGGTGTTTGGTAGAGCACCCATTTTGGAGTGGTTTCACACGGACATCAAAAGGGAAACCACCGGTTCAGGGTCCCTACCCTATCAGGAGCCCAAGACCTCATTGTTTCAGGGCTTTAGGGGATACGGGCGCTTATATTTAAAGTCTTGCGATCCTAGGCAAGTTTCGAGACCCTTTTTGGGGAGGTTTTGCAGGAACACCAAAAGGGAAACCACCAGTTGGGGTCCTAGGGCTATTCTAGGGGTACCTCCCATTTCCATTCTTTCCAGGGATCCGAATCTTTTCAGTAAACCATCCAAAACCCAGGGAAACAGATCCGGTTTTTGAAAGAACGATGTTTGAAAAGAATGGTTGGAATCAACCCTAGGGCTATTTCAAGACTCCAGTTGACCGAGGCGAGGAGGTGGACAGCCCTCGCTGGGCTGGCTGTAAGCTCAGTCGTGCTTTGTTTTCTTGGCAGGTCTGGGTTGAAACGGAGAACTCACTTCCTGAGTTCCTGGACTTTCAGCTTTTTGGAAAGGCAATGTTTAGGTAAAAAAAACAGTTTAGACCTTTTTTGTTGCCAATCCACTCAGGAAGTGAGGAAAGCAAAAAGCGGGTTTGAGCCCGGATGAAGAATCCGTGCGGAGTCAGTGGAGGTTGGTGCTGGGCCGCACAATGTGATCCGGATTCCTGCTATGGGTAGCCCACCCCGGAATTAATCAACCAGGAACCAACATTCCATGAAATTGCTTGGAAGCATAGGCCACGTGATGACAACTGATTGGAAGGTACCCCTTCTGTTTCTGTGGCAATATGTACATGTTTGTCCCCTTTCAAGGATCATACACATTGCAGTTTCATAGCCATTTGAAGGGGTTCGCTTAACTGGTTCAATGCTTGGTTGGAACATATCACCCATGTACCCCGCTGTCGGTTACACGAGGTCCTTGCCTCTTCTTGGTGGAGCGGCTGACCAATGGCCGGCGAGTCTTTCGACTGTCCAAGCTGCCGGGGGCCGAAGCAAAACGCGGCGCTCGGATCGGATGAAGCGCGGGGCGGGTAAATATCATTTGGGCGCAAAATAGCCCATGATGAATTGTCCCAAAAGGAAAGCCTCGGGGATGATAAGTTTTGTGACTTCGAAAGTTGCCAACGGCCCTGTACACCCCCTCTTATGGATCAGGAGGAGGTTTCCCAGCCCGGAAAGCAATCTCTCACTGAACAGCAAGCTCCTTCTTCCTGTTGCAAACAGTAGTAGGTGCAGCTCTATTCTAGCATGGGGGGAGAGACTAACTCGCCAACCTGCAGGAAATCCGAGTTGGTCACTCGCCAATTCAATGGTGAGGCCTACAATGTCTCATCGTTGCTCGGCTCAGTTCGAGTTGGAAGGGCTTAGAGTACAGGCTGCCTAGCTGCTAACCAGCGAGATGATGTCTCACATTGCAGCCCGACCGGTTAGATCCAAGGAATAGGCGCCATACGAGCAAGTGAGCCTTCAGATGCCTTCAGTCTCCAGAGAACTAAAAGAGGTGTGACGCCAAATACTATGGAGGTGCTCCACTATTCAGAGGTGCGACGCCAAGTAGAAGTATTCAACTTCAATAATTTCAATTACTATGGAGGTTTGACGCATGCTGCAAGGGTGCTAACAGAGGGCAAAACGATTCGTGTGGAGCATCCAAACTCTTCCGTAGACCGATTGTTGGTTTGGGGAAGACAAGGGGTTCCCATCCGACTACCCAAGTCCGTGGCTACCATGCAGACTTCAGGCAGACATGGTTCGCCTTTTCAATGGTTGCCTTGTTTTCGCTGAGTGCCACGGCGTGCCCGGCTTAAGAGCAGTTGTTTTGTTTTTGTTGCGGGTGTGTCTTTTGTCGATCTTCATAGGGAACGGTCATCGACCTATCATTGAAGGTTGCGACATCCCTCATGATGATGTCTATCATACACGAGACAGATGGCAGCTTAGACGAATTCATAGAAGAGCAAGAGTCGGCATAGTCCAAACCGCTGTATCATTCCAATTTACGGAGGCTTTAGCTAATCTTTCCAAAGCTAGCCAAAGGGGGGTGCCCAGAGTTAAGAGACAAGAATCACGTACTTGGCAACTACCTCATGCCAATTTCATGTTATTGACCTCGTTCGATTCCCGACGTTCCACGGTACAATTGGCGACCCAGCCCCGTCTTCCACCGGACTCCCACAAGGGGACGCTTTGAGTGTCTTGGGCCGAAGTTTTCATTTTTTCATGTCTTCACAGCCCTCGTCCCTTCTTCCAAGGGCCTTTAGTTCGCGCGTAAGTGATTTGTCAAACTACACTATCCACACACTCGCTCTTAGATGAACTGTTGACCTCTTCCAGCAACTGGTTTTGTTTCTGTTCAGTCAATGTGTCTTTGTGTATGTGTTTCTTCATGTCCGTAAACACCACGCAAGCTGCCGAGCCAGAACCCAGAGTCTTGGGTGACATCGAAGCACTCAGGTTCAGTGAAAGTGGCGCTGAGGACCTCAGAGTTCAGACGCGGTGCTTGTCAGCTGTGAACCCGAAAATGGGTGGTAACTGTCTGGACGTGTGCCAGCTGTTATGGTTGCTTCCACATAGAACCATATAAGAGGTCATGTAAGATACCCAGTAGTCTATGGTTAATTTGGGGAAACACATGGGGGGGCACATCAGATTTAGCACAAAATCCACAAAACACTGCTTGGTCCGTGTCCGGTACGGGAACATCATGTTGTTACCATGCCTTATGTGAAACCTGCTTCTTTTGGACCATGAGGGTCATTTCTAGCGAAGGCCAAGCACTCCAAAAACCTTGACCTTTGCCCTGTCCGGGCAAGAAAGTTGTTTTTGTTTTTGTTTTGTTTACAGAGAAAATGCTGAAACACAGCTATCAAATTGCCACATCGACACTCGTGCGGACACTCATACGCACGCATCCATCCACACACACACACAGCTTGTCACACACACACACACACAACGCACCGCAACACAACACAGCACAACGCGACACAACACGACGCACAGCACACCACAACATGACAGAACACGACACAACACGGCACGACACGACGCACAACACGACGCACAACACACCACAACACACCACAACACACACACACACAGCACACAGCACACAGCACACAGGACACAGCACACAGCACACAGCACACAGCACACAGCACACAGCACACAGCACACGCCCGCACGCCCGCTGCCAGAGCATACAAATTTCGCTCCTGGGATTGCTGTTTCAGCATTCAGGTTTCTTTGACATGATTCAGTCATGTGGCGAGCTTGTTGTTGGCTGGGTACCTGGCTTCGAGGGGCATCTGAAGGAGCTGGACATTCCTTTGCTGGCCATCTCTGCAGTACGTGAGCACAAGCAGGACCGCTTCATGGGGATGCAAAAGGCGAGCCCTAAGTGTTTCGGGACAGTCAGGCTCCATGTTGGCTGTATGGGGGCGGCTCAAACTTATGGGCCCTTGAGCCTTGCCGGTTTGCCTATTGGTTGCCCCTTCTAACTGAATAGGACAAAGGGTGCTCTGTGAGTGTGTGCAGAATCCTGACAGGACATGTCATAGTTGTGTAGAACTGAGCTGGATTTTTAGACCGATTTCTGGGATATCAAAGTGAATCCCAAGCAGTCATGGGGAGTGCCTGATTCACAGACTTCGTGTGATTTCTCACCACCATGCTTATATATGGGGGACATGCCCTCATAAGGCATTCAGAGGCATTAGCCGCTGAGTTACCCCCCTGTGGATTTCCCACAGGACCCTCTTGGGATGATCTTCCTGGTCCGCTACAAGGCGTTTCTGGCGGACACACACACACACACTTTATTTGGGAACCGGACGTGTCTCGAAAAAGGGGAGGAGACCCAAATTTGGTGGGTCTCCCTCCAACAATGTGTCCCCCAAAGCTTGTGTTCGTTTCTTTGGGGGTATTCTGCTTGATGCAGCGTTGGAAGTGGATCCGCGCACACCACGTATTAGTTCCATAACAGGGGTTGTTTGGGGTCACTATCCGAAAGGCGTTGCCGCAACCATGACAACAGATGTTTGCCACAAAGATTAAGCTATATAAGCCCAATCTTGTCCGCATTTGCTAGTCTGCTAGTCAAAATCCATCATGTGCATGTTGCTTGTGTGTGTGTGAGAAGCTCTCCTACTGCCAATGTTAGCCCGGGACTTATAAGCCTTGCGGATGAGAAGGAGGTGTTTATTGGTATTGCCTCCAAAGCAGGATTTATCAGTTCGTGCCAACACAAATGTCAGCATGTCATGTACTACTCCATGGAAAATAATTAGACTGCATTGTCCTACGACCTGGCGGTAAATTGTGTCGTGGAACCCAAACACGGGGGTCTGGAGTTTCCTCTAGCGCTTGATGGTTTTACAAGGCTGTATACTTTCAATTATCTGGGTCCCTTGTCGGATATACGTGATATATCCCAAAACTCCAGGCATCAACCCTTTGAAGCAACTGATGGCCAATGCTGTGGATGGACAAAAAGTCCACTTCGCTCCAGTTGGCATGGACTCCATCTCACATCATTTCTTCCCAGCTCATTCCAATCTGGAATCTGTGCAAACCTATTTATTCATGCGTCCCTAGAACCAAAAACTGGTAGTCTCCGGATTTTACGTTAAACTTCCATGAATTGGACAATCCAGGAATCTGGAATCTTTGCAAACCTGTCTATTCATCCTCGCATTCATTGCATCCCTAGAACCATTCTATGAATGGAACACATGACCTCCGACTGGAGCGCGCGAATCGCGCGCAAAGGCCATGGGCGAGCGCGTGCAAGTCCTGTTCAGGGCGCTGGGCCGAGCATGCACATGGATGTCACATGGGTCGCTGAATCTTTTTTGAGGGTACCCATGTTTTAATGGGGGAAAAAGAAAAACAAAAGGGAGAACCACATTTTGGAGTCCCCGAAAAAAATGTTACACACACCGACATCTGGGCATTCAGACAAGTGTTGGTTTGTATCCGAGCCATGACTGTGGTGGTCATGAGTTTTAACCATGGCATGGAAGCCCTGATTGGGGCTGATTTACCCAACAAGAGCTTCCCCAAAGAAGGATACGCTGTTGGTCTTCATAGTCATGCAGGAAAGCAAACAATTAGGGTTTGTTTTTTCTTCTGTCGAATGGTCGCTGGTCTTCGAATGAGCAGCGCAAATGGCCCATTCGCAGCGTGCTGCTACGGGGTTCAATGCAGGATTAAGACATCCACAAGGAACCGTATTATGTCCCATGCCCATTTCAGCGCCACGGTTGCTCCGAGCCTTTAACTTAAAAGATGACCAAATCACAGGCCCCCCCGTTTTTGGTTGTTTTTAAAGAAAAACAAAAGGAAAACCACGGTGGTTTCAAAAAGGAAGCCAGGCTGAAAACCACCATGTTGGCGATGTCAGAAAAAATCAGAAGGACCACCACAATTTTGGGGAGTCCCCTAAAAAAGACGAGCCACCCATTTGACGTTCTTTTTCAGGCTGCAACTCGGGAGGGCCGCAGCACCTGGGTCGCCAACCTCTGCGAGGTGGGTAAGAAACGAATCCCGAGTGCTTTCAGCTGCCACTATGGTAGGAGGCGTGGAAGTGTGTGTGTGTGTGTTTTTCTCCGAGGGAACGCGTTGCATGTGTGTGTTTTGGGGAAAGGACAACCAAGGGAAAACCCAAATGCGTTTTTTTGGTCCCCTAACAAGAGGTGGCCATGTAAAACCACAGAGAAAAGGGTACCCTCGAAAATCGCTTACCCAAATCTATACCTCAAACGGCATAGGCTGTTACTGCCTGTCAGACCACAAAAGCGAATCATGATATGGCCCGCCCATTTGTTAAACAGGTCAGTCGAAAAAACAACGGGTTGCCGACTTCCTTGCATGTTAATTAAAGCATGTTTGGACGGGTGATTGCAGATCAGTTTGCTTTCCCAACTTCAAGCCTGCTGTGTCTCCTTTGGGGTTGGGGTTGGGGTCGGGAAAAAAAAAAAAAAACAGACAGAGACACAGACACAGACACAGACACAGACACAGACACAGACACAGACACAGACACCACAGACACCACAGACACCACAGACACCACAGACACCACAGACACCACAGACACCACAGACACCACAGACACCACAGACACCACAGACACCACAGACACCACAGACACCACAGACACCACCGACACCACAGACACCACAGACACCACAGACACCACAGACACCACAGACACCACAGACACCACAGACACCACAGACACCACAGACACCACAGACACCACACCACAGACACCACAGACACCACAGACACCACAGACACCACAGACACCACAGACACCACAGACAGACACCACAGACAGACACCACAGACAGACACCACAGACACCACAGACACCACAGACACCACAGACAGACACCAGACAGACACAGACAGACACAGACAGACACAGACAGACACAGACAGACACAGACAGACAGACAGACACACAGACAGACACCACAGAGACACACAGAGACACAGAGACACAGCAGATTACACACACAGAGACACACAGAGACACACAGAGACACACAGAGACACACAGAGACACACACACACACACACTTACACACACACAGCCCCCCCACCCATTTTCGGTACGGTGGATGCCCTAAACGTTGCAAGTATAGGGACTAAGGACCCCCTCCCCAAGTTACCGTCATGTGCCATGATCCGATCAATCCTGTATCTTCATTTGAGCAAAAAAGCATTTGAGCAGAAAACGGGCGTAAAGGAAGATACAGGATTCTATGGTCTTGTGGTTGGTGGTTGTTTGCTTGCACTACAGGGGCGTCCACCGCTTGATCGTTGGGCCGCGAATCGTCGAACTTGCAGGCCATCCACACTGCGCGGGGCGAGGCACCTCGGAGGTGCCGGGGGCCCAAGAGTGGAGATATTTCTATTTGGATGTGTCAGATATGTGGCTAGGCCCCCCAGTATAGGCCTTTTACCATTTCTTTTTTGGGGGAGGGTTCCCCTTCTAAAATAGACTGCAGAAAAAAGGGTACCCTTATTCGAGCCTCTCTACTGGAGGACCTAGTCGGGCCTTGGGTGTGTCGGTTTTTGAGGGTACCAAACGATAAGCCACCATTCTGGGGGACGCGGGCTCCTCTAAAAAAGACCCACGCCTTTATGAGTGTCTTTATCATTTTAGTTGGAAGGCCAAAGTGCTCGATCATGTCTGGCCCAGGTCCCTCAGTTTTGGACGCCTTCGTTTCTAAGGACAACCCGTGACTGCCGGCGGTGTGTGAGATCGGCGTTTTTCCCTTGAAATTGGGGGAGGGGCTGACCTCCGGAATTCCTTCTGTGGCAACCCGTTTTTTTTGAGTGGCACCTTCTCTATTCTTCAGGGATGTTTTGAAACTTGCCAACAGGGACAATTGTTGCAACCGGAACGGAGTCAGAATGGGGACATCGCACCCTCGATTCTTCCCCTTGGATCCCGAAGTCCACGTTCCGATGCTCGAAGCGTGCGGAACCGGAAGACCGGAAGGCTGCATGGAATTGGAGGACGCCAGTGCCCCTTGAAGAATGCCCCTATCCTTTCATTGGAAGGAAGGCAGGGCATCACATCGCAAATGTCTGGCCGGTGTGAGCTCGGTGCTCTGAAGATCTTTGGTTGGTGTTTTTTTTTTTTTGGTATTTTCCCAAAGCGCTTGTTGATTCATATTTGGCCAGCTTGGTCAATCCGGATCGGGGCTCGGACCAAGTCCGAAATCGAGCTCACGCAAAGGCGTTCCCCCCATGGTGGCAAACTTGGCCACTGGATCGGCTAACGAAATCGGACGCACCTGGAGCCGAAATCGGCGTGCAGAGTGGGTTGCGAAGTTCTAAGAAACAAGCTCCAGAAACACCCACGGAAGGGGAGGTGGTGAATTTCTCGGAGACTGGCGTTTGTTTCTCAGAGAGGTGCCACCTTCTCCCCGGTGCTACCCTTTCAGACATGGACTATGTGGGTGTGGCTCAAAATTGAACAGGAGGGGCAAACCGCAGGTTTTGGTCCATGTTTCCACTTACCAGGGTTCCATTTTGGAATTCCGGTTTTTTGAGCCACCGCCATGTGACCAATGTGTGAGAAGCACCCATTGCAATGGGCACGGTTGAAACTTTCCGAGCAGTTCGAGCGGACAGCATGCCAGTCTGGATGCCGGCCAGGTCGACCTCAGACTACTTCCATTTGCTGAAATGAATATGTTTGATTTTCCCCTGTTGGTTTTAAAGGGAATCTATCACTACTGGAAATAGTTTTATTTTTTCCAGGGGTCTTACCCAAATGGAAGACTGACGAACACGAATAGAATCGTGTGTGGGGTGGGCGGGTGTTGGCAATTTAAAGGGATTCTCCATGATCCACTAAACAGGGGGTGACCAATTCACGATAAAAAGAAACATCTCACCCCCCCCTCATCCACTACATGGGACTGCTCGCCAATAGGCTGATGGAGTTGGACGGCACGGCTCGACCCGCTGGTTTTGGCTCAGTTGGCCATGTTGCTGGTCGCTACCTTCGCTCTGCAGGCTGAGGGCGGCTTGACCTACAAAGACACCATCCGAATCGGTCATTTTTGTTTTATTTTGTTAAGTATGTGGTGTTATTAGATATTGCAATGGATGTTGTGAGGATCAAAACACGAACGTGAAGTAGGGTTCGGTTTCCTTGAGTTTCCAACTGGAAACCCAGCTGTTCTTGGGGGGGCTTGGGGTACTCTTGTCCTTTTGGAAGACAAAACGTTTGGGTTTTCCTGGAGAGATGTCTGGGTGTGTTACCGTGCTACCAGAACGGGATTCGCCTCCCGATTAATTTGTTGGTTTAGCCAAGACATGTCAATGCTTGTTTTTTTGACTCCTCAATGGTTGGTTCGGACATGGCTATGTGTCAAAATAGGGGGCCCAACCAGGGGTTTCTTTTATATTTTCTTCAACACCAACAAACAAATGGTATATAAATAGAGTTGGACCCGCTCTGATGAATAGCCCGTTGCGGAGGGCTTCATATTTTCAACCAAACGTGCAAACCCCTTGTGACGCCGCTTTCATTCTGCGCAGCGGTGCCGGGCCCGTCCGCAAGCGCTCCGATTTGGCTCCTTTGGCTCCAGCTTGGCTTGCTGCCTACTTTCGCCATGTCGGAATATGCGACTTGGCCAGCTTTAAGCTTCCGGAGTTTGGTGAATGTCGCTTTGTCCCCACACGCCTTTTTTTTTGGGGGGGGGGCACACCGGAAAACCTTTGTGCCTCTGATCGGTGCATGTCCAACTCAGGGGGGCAGTCCACCCCCCCCACCCCCCCCCCCCCCCGGCTCCCCATGCTAATGCGCCAGGTGCGGCTGGACCCTGGAGAGAACGCCTCGATTTCCGGGCGCTTCCGATGCTCGCAAACCCAAAAGTTGGTGTGGCTCTTGGGCCTTGTCTTGACCCTGACGCTCCGATTCAGCGACTTCTCCAAGCTCCGTGGCCAAACTTAGCACGCGCCTTGAACCAATCCATGTATTTCTCCACAAAGACACCCTGCAAACGGGTCAAATGCTGGTACATACACTACCTACGTGGATTGTTTGGATTGTTGTTGTTGATCTTTCTCCCCCAGCAGCTGGAAGCTAGGTCGATAGGCCCAAATAAGTTCTGTGGTTCGGAGGAGCTAGAGCGGGTTCTCAAGGGTTCTGGGGCTTTTATGGGAATACCACCTCACAATGTGCCGCCCTCTTAATTCGTTAAATGGCGTTGGGTAGACTGTCGGTCGCCTTTGGTGTTGATTGTGACGCATTTCCGTTTCGACCGGCCAAAGGCCAGCTTTTCTAGCATAAAGGCCAACGTCAAATTCCAAGGCTCGTTTCGTGGTAACTTTTCGCTTCAAGTTGAGCATTTTTTTCCGGAGGCTCTACTTTGCGTCGCTGGCCTTTTTCGTGTTTTGGTCCCTGGGGCTTGTCTTGACGGAGCCGCCGGACGTTCCGGAGCTGCGGCCCGTGGAAAACGTGCTTCCAGACCTGCTGTGGTGCCGGGACTACTTCATCTACTACGGCGGCACCACATGCGTCGCGGTCAAAAGATCCCACTGGCTAGTTGCCGGATGGTCAACTTGGTCAACCTTTCAAACCCTCGTTTCTCCTCTAATTACGTCTAATTGTAGGTCAACATGTCACCAACAAGCAGGGCCCCCCAACAAAAGATTCCTCAAGTAGCGTGTTCGAGGTTCCATCTTGATTCGCTGGTGAGCAACCACTTAGATTTGGGACCTTGCGTCCGAAAAGCCAAAGTTCAAAAGAAACATGATGCCAACCTTTTGTGACCTCACCATCCAAGTAGAACCCCCAGAACAAAAATGCCCAACGCGATTTAAAACCGCAAGGTCTGATCCGGTCGGTTTGCTTTGGATTGGGCAGGTGGAGCCATAAGTTGCCCTAAAACAAACACGCAGGCCCTGCTTGGAAAATCAGGCACTGGGTTTAAGTCCTTGGGGTTTCAAACAAATTTCTCAAAATTAGGAACCCTCCGGGTCCAAGGGGGCGATTGCTATGGGGCGACCCCAAAGGGAACCTTGGGAGCCTTTCATTTCCAGATGCTTTCCCACACAACTCATGTGGGTAATATATAATACAATGTATAATATATATAGATATATATATATGTATATAATATACGTATATATATATATATATATGTTTTTAATTATATACAACATTCGACCCATTGGAGGGTTTCTTTCTGGGTAGTACATATGTATATATGTATATCTGAATATATATATATATATGAATATATATAGATATATGTGGATTGTTTGGCTTTGAGTGAGGCTATGCCCGCATGACCATCATCCGCTTGTCGGACGGCAGCTTCTGCGTGCACTCGCCCTCGCCCTTCGACGAGGTGTGCGAGCAGTTTTTCGGCAACAGGACGCGCGACGCGACGGTCAGGGGTACCCCCACCCAAGACCCACGTTTTGTAGGGAATGATAGAGTATGAGGTCAGCCCTTGACTGAAGAAAGAGGTATTTACCTTGGAAAACCCGAACTTGTGGTTTCTTTAGATTGGTGGGGACTGGGGATTTGAACCCCTGGATCTTGTGGGTAAATGGTAAACCACAACCACCAAACCAAACCACCAACTTAGAGGGAAGATAAGGTGTATCTATCACCGGCGAGCGCAATGAGGCATCCTGGCTTTCCTGATATACTTGAGGGTCAGGAGAGAAGGTGCAAACGATCTAGTGTTCATTTTGCTTCGCTAGAACAACCTAACCACCGGCTGGTAAAGCAAGGGTATCGGGTTGTGTTGTTTCTTTCCCAAAAGACTTTGTAGCCTTGTCGAATGGGAGTAGCCCTGTTTACTCCTATGCAATCGCAGTTTGGGTCCGTCTTTGTTTAGGGGGACCCCTAGTTGGCTGTGTTGCTTTTGGTGGCGCTTTAGAAGGGCCGACCCGTTTGTAGTTTGCGAGCCTCCTCTATTGTTTATTGCTATACCCTGCATGGACAGGAATGCTTCAATTTGATCAACGATTTTGGATATGCGGTTTAGTCGATTCCACCAGCTAGTCCTCTTTGCTTGGTGCTTTGCTAAGCTTCCATGGATAGATCCAACATTTTGAGGCATCGAAACCGTATCATGGAAGTTGAATCCCACTTTGGTATGACAGAAAGGGGCCCTTCTTCCACAACCACAGCCTAGTGCTTGTTCCCTCCGTTTCCTGGCTCTATTTTGGGGGACCCCCACAATGGTGGTTTTTCATTTGGTTTCCCTTAAGGGGTACCAACTCCAAAAAAGACGAGACACCAAAAACCTCCCCTCCCCCTGGAGCAATGTTCCCCGCAGCCAAGTTGGCAAGGCTGATTGCATAGGTCTATGTATATATCTATATATACATACATGAGCCCATGACCATTTTGGACCCAAACGGGGCTGATTTCCCACAAAGCCAAAACCCTATAACTGTGTTGTAACCCATGCACTAGGGGTTTCTACCAAGGGTTCATATATATGCGTATACATTCAGCCTTAGACTGAAGGAGATTGTCCTACCTGTTGGCGCCCGGGGATATGCACCACTTCCACATCGTCGACTGGGCTCGGCGCTTCCCACATGCCGTCAAGCTCATTTGCCCGGGCGTCGAGCAGAAGCAGCCGTCGCTTCTGCCCCGTGTCCGCACATGGCCCTTGAAGTCATGCGGATTGGAATTTTCTGGCAGAAAGGCGGGGGAGGGGGGGGGGGTACTTCCAGCGTTTCAGGTCCATTCAAAGTGCCCTTTTGCGCTTTGACACTTTTGTGAACCCTTGGGTGCATGCTTGGGAGCAACTTGGATCCTTTGAGGGTCACCCCAAGAAAATTGTCCACTTGGCAGGAGGCAGACCATGGTGGAAATAGCGTCCTGGGGCCAGAGAAAAGTGCTCTGAAGTGACAAAGCAGTCATAGAAATGGACCCTTTGTCACAGAAACCCGGAGTCTCCATGACCTTTTAAAAATGGGGCTCATTCCCCAAAATTCATTAAGGCGGTCGGAGAATGAGGCTTACTTTCCACAACCCTGTCCCCCAAAACCTTGCCCCCCCTGGCGCGGTGCACAGTTCATTGGGCATTGAGGTTTCACTTGAATTCGATTTCCCTGGCTTGCTGTGTGAGGAGAGAATTTCTTCGCTCCCCCCCCCCCCCGCCCCCGAATCCGAATCCGAGGCACGACGGGTTCATCCACGACTACCTGGCGAAACACGTGGGCTCCGACGCATTCACCTCGGAGTTCGAGGCGGTGGCCTCTGAGGGCTTTGGGCTGATCCGAGAGGTGGTGATGTATCTTTGGTGCAGTTTGCAAGAGACTCCTTTTGCGGCCTAGGTTCCATGTCAGTTTCTTTGCATTTTGCCAACAGATGTTAGGACTTGAGAATCTTTTGCCAACTAATTTGGGTTTTCCGTTAATTAAACCACTCCAAGTTAGTCAGTTTTTGCAGGGCAGCAGAAAGCAACCGAGGTATCACAAGCCCTCGCGGCATCTGCTGCTGGTGCCTCGTCTTGCCATAGGCTGACACGGTCCTCCAGCTCCTGGGGAGTGTGGATGGACAAAATCCTGCAGTTGGTAGGTGGTTTATCCCAGCTTTTCATTCACCCATCCCAGCCCTCAGAATGGGTTGTTTTCCAGGGCCCCTGAGGAATTGGTCCGGGTTCTTCATGGGAGGGCCCGGGGTCCTGCACTGGAGGGGTCATCAGCCTTAGGGTTGCGATAGGCAACGCGGGGAATATGCTTCCTACACCCAGCTTCCGCTGAGACCATGCCAGGGATGGAACTGTCCCACACCCACTCTCTCCCAGTGCTTCCCTGTTTCCACACAAAATTAAAGGGTGCTGGATTTTGCCACTTGGGAAGACCGCTTTATGAGGTTCCCTTGTTTTGGTGCCTTGCCTCTTGGTGCGCAGTTTCATTTTGAAGACCAAGTTCCTCTTGGACAAGGAGCCGCGGGTCCAAGTTGGTCTGAGGATACATTATTTGTTCTGTGGGCGAAGCTGGGCGTACATGGACATTCCCAAGGACATCCAAACATTCCGAAATTGAAATGTAGATGTTCGCAACGACACATTTTAGGGCTACCCTATTTGAGAGAAACCTTTGTGAAGGGACGGGAAACCAAGCACTTGGTGTCGCCCATGTGAGGACCGTTCCTGGATGTGTCGTAACATACGCGACCCCAAAGTTGTGCTTCTTCCTTGGTTTGCCTTGACACTATACACAAGAAAGGTGACTGAAACGGCAATGATGGCTGATTTCTCTCCACCAACCACTTGTGAGTGAGTTCCGTGGCCAAATGGCAGTTTTTCCCCTTCTGGACAACAACACCACCTCTAAATCACGGTTGCCTTCGGAGGAGCAGCCACTTCTTTTTCATGCCACACGCCAACCCAGGTGGATTTGGTGGAGTACATCGGAGACGGGTATGCGCCCGTGGCACAAAGAAGTCACACAAAAAAGGAAGGCTTTTGGAGTGTGCTTGAGTGAAAGCCCTCCGGAACCCAGTGCATAGTGGCAACATGCGCCCCTGAAAGGATGATGTTTCAAGAGTTGCCATGGTGGAACCATTGTTTGAATTCCATGATTCCATGGTAGACTTAAACCCGTGGCTGATTTCCCACCTGGCATGGGTTCAGTGAAGAAGTCTTTGGGGTTCCCTCTAAAAGAAAAAGGCCTCTGGAACACCAAGTAGTCCAGTTGGGTCCTTGGGGTTCGCTAAGAAAAAGGCCGCTGGAACAGCAAGTACTTGGTGTTCCCTTAAACAAAAAGCCCCCCGGAACACGAAGTAGTCCTTGAAGCTGGCTATGGACTGCTCGAGGTGGGCTACAACCGGTGCCTCCGAGTCTTCTGGTGGTGCTTCGGCATGTGGAATCGGCCCAAGCCCGCGCCAGAGTACCAGTTCAGCGTGCAAGACCAGGACAAGGTCGGATTGTTTCTGCCCCAAAAACGGGGGGGGGGGGGGACGGTAAACAGGGTCCCTTAAAAGGATTCATGCGGTCGACAAACGTATCCACTACTAGCTGATTTGTGTACAGGTTGTGTCTGGATGTATTTTTTGAGTAACCCTGCTAAATTAAATATTTGGGCAAGGGGTGCTGTGCTAAGCTTCCACTTAGACCGATTCCCACGTTGGTTGAAAGGGCCACCAACAGTTGCCACAAACTCACTATAAGGGTGTCCGCAGAAACGCCCAAACTCTGCCAACGTGGAACCCACCAAGTCACCATAGGGTCCGAGAATCAAGTTTCATCCACCAAAGCAGGCGAGGTTAACATCCCAGCGTGGCAGCGGGGGCAGTACCCCGCCTAAGACCATGACCACTAAGTCCGGCACGAGAGCAGTATGTATGTATATATATATATATGTATATCTAAGTTTGTTTCTCCCCACTACCCCAAACCATTCAGGCATTCAGGGAAAGCCAGGCTGGTATGTACACTGGGAAACTGTGGTTTTGGGAGTAGACCATTGCGAACTATGAGTGTCTTCTTGTGGGGATATCCTGGAGGAAGGTGTACCGCACGGGTGGGCTGGGCATCTTAAATAGTGTGTGTGTGTGTGCTTTTAGGGTTAGGATGCCTTTTTTTGGTGGTTTTAAGGGAAAGCCAAAGGGGTCCCCTGAAAAAGACACCCAGATGAGGCATTTGAACATATTTTTTGTTTGGTGCCCCAAAATTGGGCCAAGGGGACAGCCAAAGGTGGGTGAGCCCCAGTTTACTCCCCAGATGAACATGGAATCCAAAAACCCAGCATGTCTACAAGAGACTCCTTTTGCGGCCTCCCTCCCGTGGGGCGGGGGGTTATCCTCTATCCTCTCTTAAGTATCCGACACGCCCAGCAATATCGGCCGACATATCTGTTCAAACCGCAATCCGCCAGGTCCTTCACCCCAACAAAACGAAAGAGGTTTTATGTCAATTTGCAGTTGTTGCTTTTTGCTTGGTCAGGTGCGGCAGTTCCTTGGCACCATCCTAACGCGCTGGGAGATTCGGGGCATTATCTTGGCGCATGGGACCAACGTCTTGCAGGTCGGCGATCACGAGTCAAAGGACTGGTAAGTTGCAAGTTTGATGAAACACAAAAGATTTTCCCTCCCAGACTTCCTCCAACAGAAGGCACCTTTGAGAGGGTACCTGGAAGTTTCCACGTGAAGGAAGCCCCTTTGTGAGGTGCCATGTTAGAGGCCGGGTAAATGGAGGGATTGACGATGTTTGAACAAATGCTTGGGAACTCTTTGGAAGGCCGTGAAAGTCCTTAGGCATGTTTGCTTCTACTCGTTTTTGAACGACACAGCTTTGTAACTGATGTGACTAGTCCATCAAAAGCTGATACTGGTATAGTATGGCTTGGGTGTCCATCAAACGTTCATATTCATATATGTTGCAGATTGCTCTGCAACATGGAACCCAAGCAAGGGGTTCCCCAAAGCTGAAAGAGACATGTCTCTGCCCACTCCATTCTCCAGGAGTTCCTGCGACGCGCCTGGGCAGCCTGGCTGTGAAGCGAGCGCAGATTTCTGGGAGTGCCCCATGTGCCCCTTGGAGGTTGTACATACGATCATCGTGTCATTACTCCACGACCTCATCCTGGGATGCCGCATTCAAAGTCTTGAAGTTGGAAGCTCCTGTAGATCATCATCCAGGGAATATTGTGGAACATGGTTGCAGAGAACGCTCTTTCCAGGGCGAGATCAAGAGGAGTCAAAGTTGACAGCATGTGTCTTCAACAGAAAGACGTCCGCCACACATGTCGCTCGCAGTGCGGGCTCACATCAGCCAACGACGCTGACATTTGACCAGTGAATGTGTTTGGCACCGGTGTGGAACCTGCGATCGCGGGAAAAAGGGCCGCCCAGGCTCCATTTTCCTTTTTGGAACTTTTCAGAAGTGGCGGTTTCAATGCACACCACCGGCAAATTGAGCAGCTGTTGCTTGGGGTGCCCGGAGAGCCTGGCTCCAGCGCACATCTGTTTCAAAGGGAGACCAAAAGGGGAAAGTCCATCCACGGTACTTGTAAAGTCACAACCTCTGCCTTGTGAGACCGATTTGGGATCACCATCCCCAGGAATTCAGCACTCTTGACACGGATCTGTGTCACAGAGCATGGCAACCTGAAACTCTAAGTTCAAACTTGGGCAGGGCATGGCCTTGGGGCCGTGTTTGGCATCAGCTTGCCGCTTCTACTCAAAAGGCTCGTGTTTTCTTGGGAGTCCCTTTCAACGCCAGGATGCCACCGTTCCAACAGAAGTGGACAGGCCTTGGTAAGTGGCCAGTGGACAGGGCTGGTTTCCTTTCAAGGATCTCCTTAAAGCGGCTCACTCCCAACACCCGGACGCAAGGTCATTCCCTAAGCAGGAAAAAGTGGTACATCCTGAGGCTGGGATTGAATGAACAGCTGGGAGCAACCGCCTGCCAGCTGCAGGATTTGGTCCACTCCCTAGGAGCTCAAGGACCGTTTCAGCGGGAAACAACCATTCTGAGAGACCCGTTCTCGAAGTTTGTTTCCTCCCCAAAGCACCGCTAAAACTTAAGCAAACGGTGTTCGTGGGAGAGGGAAGTAAAGGGTGTCTATGTCCCAAATAAAGCCCTAGACATTTGGAGGTAGAGGATTTTGAGGATGCAACCTTTGAGCCTTCACTTCGTGAGTTCTCAAAGTTTGCCTCTCGTGTCTCCGTTTCGCTGGGAACGAACCTCAACTTCGCCCGCATCAGTTCGAGGATATCGTCCTCACCCGCCCCGCGCGCAGGTCGCAGTCGGACATGGCGCTGCAGTCTGCGGAGGGCTTACGGCCGTTTGCTGCGAAAGCAGGGTAGTATTGTTTTTTGTTTGTTGAATGGCACAATAGCCACAGAAATGGGAAACTCGGCATCACTGAAAGGTGATTTGTCCACAACCATGAACAGAAGGATGTTAATGCAGGATGGGGAATCAACCCTTAGAGAACTGTTCAGAAGCCTCCCATTTCTCCGGGTATGTGCAACAACCAGCAGTTGGCGATTCATTTACGCTTTGGCGGTGAATGGAGGCATTCAAGCACATGGAACCAGTTCAGTCACATGGTAATGTGTCAACTCTGGGGACGCATCCATTTGTTTTGCTGATTGTATATGATGTGTTTTTTTGATTTTGTTGTTGTCTGGTGGTTTTAAAGGACACCATTTTGAGGGTGCCCCTATTTTGTTGTTCATAGCCACCTAGTGGTTTTTGCAGATCGGGGTGTATTGGTGTTCAATGGTCGGCATGTTTATGGGGAGTTTGTTGTACAAAAAGAAGCCGCTAACCACCTTTGAGGTGGTTCCCTATCAAAGTTAATTTCCAATTGGTGCTCTAGAACTTCGAGCGTTGGAGGCAGTTAGAAGTTCTATGACTGGCTCTCTTGACAGGTTTGGGTGTGGACCAAGCAGGCAGAAGCTGAGAGCGTCAGTCTTGTTTTCCTGCGCACATGGGCAAGGCATAAGCAAGGCGTAGGCAAAGGCTTATCTCCAGGTAGGCGGCGCGGGCACTTACGTAGGCTTCGCGCAGGCTTTGCGTCGGCTGGGAATTCTGTACGCAGCCTTGATGAGTCAACACACCAGACAACTGCTCACATGTTGAGATATATATTTGTGTTTCTTGAGGGTACTCTCTCTTCAGGAGGACAGCAACAGGAACGCCAGGATTTGTTGGGTTCTTCCATGTTCCCCCCATTTGGACACATTACATGTGCCCGACCAGGTCGAGATCAAGCATGGCTGATGCTTCAGAAGAAGTCCCGGACAGAGTGCGGAGTTCCACATGTGTGCAGCTGGCTGGTTCCGTGCAGCGTTCGTTCGCTACAAAAATCGACTTGACGTCGGGTGCCATCTGTTGACATTTGTTTGCGACATAGATTTTGCCTGAAGTTGATTGCCATAATTTTGAAAAAAACACAGATGGATGATTGTGCTGCGTAGGACAAAGAAGCAGGAAACTCTGCTGCCGGAAGAGCAAAATTGGTACTACAATGAGCCTCAGCTGGCAACGAGCACGTTGGCTTTGAGCATGCCGGGATTCGCGCTGACCAGTAAGTCACTTTAGTGGGGACATGTATAGGGGACAATTCCGTAGCAGGCTTCGACGACACTGTGTGTCATTATCACAGTCTTGCAGATCCAGCAAGTAGGCTTGAATGTCGTTTCGGCCAGTCGTTGCAGCCCTTCGGTGACGACTAGCCCAAGAAGGCAACACAAGCCAAATGAAACAGAATCATGCAAGCAATATGCGTGCGCATCTGTGATATACGCATGTTGCATGATGCCATCCCCGTAGACTGATGACACATGGCATGCTGGTATTTCGGTTGTGAATCACGGGCCCTTGCACTATTCGTGAGCAAACTGACCAGCAAACCCTGATGTTGGCTTTCAAGGTGGCACCTATGTTCTACCCGCGCAGGTCCCATTCGAGCGAAGTTGGTCCCAGTCCTCGAAGCGAACGTTTCTAAAGATGCAGCCATCGCTCGAAGATTGAATCGAACATGTGGGTGTGGCCCTGAAAAATAAATGAGCCAGGGCAAACCGCAGGTGGTCTTTGGTTCCATTTTCCAAGGTGCCATGGTACCCCCCCACTCCAGATACCCTCTGTTGTAGGGTATGATGTCGACCCTCTACTAAAAAAGGAGGTATTTACCATGGAAACCCAGGTTGTTCAAAAAATACCCTGAAAACAGTGGGTATTTGCAGCAGGGGGTACCTTTTCTTGAGCCACAGATCAATGTCAGCTTCAGGCGCAAGAGGAGGGCGAGCCAGCGGCGGGGGGCTGGGGCGGTGCATGCACCTGCCCCAACGGCGAGGTGTACCAGGCGAGGAACCAAAAGGTTTTACAGGTTACTTACTATAACCTAAAGGTTTTACAGGTTGCTTGCAGGTTTTACAGGAACCAGAAGGTGTTAAAGGTTTACAGGTTTTACAGGAACCAAGAGGTTGGACTAGGACTCTTACTCTGAGGTTCTGTTGCATTTCAGGTTTACTAAATATGGATCATATTGTTAACATGTGTTTTGGGTGGACGTGAGATCAGCTGATAGTCTTTTTGTTCCCATGTTGGATAGGGTACCGCCTCAGTTGCTTAAAGTTTGTAGGCGCTGGGGCTTTGGAACTAGATTTGCTACTCAGCCCAGGCGACACGGGCTTCGGGCTTTCGGGCATTGATGTGTTCCAACTTCATCGCTCCATCTTGGGGAACACAGATTATTCGTGGCTCGTAGAGTCTTTGGTTCTTGCGTCGATATGAAGTTTGAGCGTAGCCCGGCCTCTGTGATAGGCCAAGTAACTAGCTATTTCACAATATGTGTATATGTCAGTATTCTGAGGACGCCTCAAAAGAATATGAGTTTGCTGTGGGTCTGAAAACGGATCCCTCCAAAAAAGCACACATGTATATATATATATATAAATGCGTTGTACGTCCCCTACTTGCAATCATGTCCCCCGCTTGCCGCCAATCTAAACAGGAATGCGGACAAGTTCCTGGAAAGTTGTCCTGTGCGGGTTATGTTTTGCCGGTAGGCTTCCCTCCAATTGTCAGTCACCACAGGGTACTTCTGGGTGGGTGTTTGATAGTTCGACACATGGGCCCACGATTCTTTGCGTGTTTGTGATCAGTCAATCGGGCATCATTTTCGTACACCCCGCATACTGTGGATGTAGAGAATCCTGCAGTCGGTAGCTGCCTGCTCCCAATATTCATTCGTATAGTGTGTTTTCCAGAATATTGGTGCAGGATGTTGTCCTTCAGCCGAAAGTTCAGGGGCTTATTTATTGCTCTGCTGCTTTTTCTTTGGGGCCAGGTTGGTGACAACATGGATGCCTGCAAAAGCATCGCATGCCTCTTGGCGCACGGGGAGGCTCGAACTCCGAAGGATTCCCAGCTCATCCATGTAGGTGTTTGAGGGGTTCCCTTGTCTTCCCTTTGCTTAAGAAATGTGTAAACAAAAACTGTTGGTTTCAAGGGAATCTACCACAGTTGGACATATTCTTATTTTTGTCCGGGGGACCTAAGCAAATGGAGGTTGTGGTTGTTCAGCTTCCATGAAACAGTGA